TGAATAGTCCTCACTTTAGATTAGGTCACAAAACTAGGTGAAGTTGAGTTAGTAAAGTATTTATTAACATACATAGTAACCATTAATATATGCCTGAATAATAAGACACATAAACGTTGATTCAATAGTTTATTAATCATTTACTAACTCATTCTGAATGATCCTAAAAACCCTCAACTACTCTTAAATACAAATGGTTTGTAAATAATGCGATACTTAAATTAGTAATGAAAAATAAATAATTTTCCAAGTATGAAAATACAATTATTAAGCACATTTTAAATGGGATTATAAGTCAAGAATAGAGCATTTGTAGCTGCAGTTATAAACTGCTTACTAACGTTTATTAATGTAGAGTTAATGCTTAACGGATAATGAATTCACTATTTGCTAATGCTTATTAAATGATTTATAGTGTGTAGTTATTATAAAGTGTTACCCATCATTCTACTTAACAGAAATAATGTCCAGTATGGAATATAAAGTCATAGTGTAGTATGAGCTTGGAGGACTGCATACTTACATCTCTGCAATGACTCAAATCACTTATTAATAAAGTCATCTGGGATGGCAAAGAAAGCGTTCTTGTAGGACTTCCAGAGAGTTCTTTGTATCCATCTTTAATGCCCCCTTCTTCATCTTACCCCAGACATGCTCAATACAACATGTCTGGTGACTGGTGGGGTGGGGGGGGAGTGAGCGAGGTATCTGAATAGGGGCGTGTCCGCGCGAGACGTACCTGATGAGTGGTGGGGGTGAGTTGAGCTCTACATACCTGAAGTCGGGGTGAGTTGCGGGCAATGTACCTGAAGAGCTGGGACGAATGCGGTGGAGAGGGGTGTGCAACGTATTAAAGGACTGAGCGGGAGACTTGCGATTTCCGGGAGATTATCATTCATTTGCGGGCATCCGGGAGTCTCTATGCATTTGCGGGATACTCACGGAACTTCTGGGAGACTTGGGATATCTGCATTCAATGTTGGTTCTTGCAACACATTTCAAAAAAAGTTTTTCATTTATCACTTTGTATTGTTGTCATTCCTTTTCACAACACTTAAAAAACATTTAGAGACTGAAGACACCAAGTGATGAAGTGTTTCAGGTGTAATTTTGTCTCATTTTCACTGCAAACAAGTCTTAAGCTGGGTAAGAGTACGGGGTCTTTATTGTCGCATTTTGTTCTTCAAAATGTGCCACACATTCCTTATTAGAGGCAGGTCAGGACTGTGGGCGGGCCAGTCAAGTACCTCTATCCTCTTCCTCTGCAGCCAGGACTTTGTAATGTGTACAGAATGTGGTTTGCATTGTCTTGTTAAAATATGCATGCGTGTTCCTGGAAAAGAAGGCAGCTTATTGTGCTCCAAAATCTCTATGTTCTTTTCAACATTAGTGGTGCCATCACAGAAGTGCAAGTTACTCTACCTTTCCAATGGTTTTGACCCTAGGCATGGGGTGATAACCGTGTTCAAGGTATACCGCGGTTTGAAAAGTCAAGGTTTTAAAATCGTCAAAATTTTTATTTAAGGTATGAGTACGATTTTTTTTTTTAATTTACTTTTTTTGTTTGTTTTTTTAGGACAGCAGTATCTCCAGCAGAAAAAAGTAAATTGTAAAGAAATCTGTGTTTTTGAAACAAATGAAGACAACAGAAGTCTGGCTCATTTTCATTATACAGCCTGACATGTTTACTGTTCCAAAAATGTTTAAATGTTTCCCAAATTAAAATATATTGTGTACAAAGGGGGCGATGCGGTGGCGCATTAGGTAGTGTTGTCGCCTCACAGCAAGAAGGTCGCTGGTTCGAACCTCGGCTGGGTCAAGTGGCGTTTCTGTGTGGCCATTGCATGTTGAAAAAAATTCTAATATTTGAATGATTGATTGGTAGGTAAGTAGTTTGGTTTGTTGATTGATTTATTGGTTGGTGGCCTGGTTGATTGATTGGTAGGTAAGTAGTTTGTTTTGTTGGTTGATTTATTGGTTGGTGGGCTGGTTGATTGGTTGATTGATTGGTAGGTAACTAGTTTGGCTTGTTGGTTTATTTACTGGTTGGTGGGCTGGTTGATTGGTTGATTGATTGGTAGGTAACTAGTTTGGCTTGTTGGTTTATTTATTGGTTGGTGGGCTGGTTGATTGGTTGATTGATTGGTAGGTAACTAGTTTGGCTTGTTGGTTTATTTATTGGTTGGTGGGCTGGTTGATTGGTTGATTGATTGGTAGGTAACTAGTTTGGCTTGTTGGTTTATTTATTGGTTGGTGGGCTGGTTGATTGGTTGATTGATTGGTAGGTAACTAGTTTGGCTTGTTGGTTTATTTATTGGTTGGTGGGCTGGTTGATTGGTTGATTGATTGGTAGGTAACTAGTTTGGCTTGTTGGTTTATTTATTGGTTGGTGGCCTGGTTGATTGATTGGTAGGTAACTAGTTTGGCTTGTTGGTTTATTTACTGGTTGGTGGGCTGGTTGATTGGGTGATTGATTGGTAGGTAACTAGTTTGGCTTGTTGGTTTATTTATTGGTTGGTGGGCTGGTTGATTGGTTGATTAATTGGTAGGTAACTAGTTTGGCTTGTTGGTTTATTTATTGGTTGGTGGCCTGGTTGATTGATTGGTAGGTAACTAGTTTGGCTTGTTGGTTTATTTACTGGTTGGTGGGCTGGTTGATTGGGTGATTGATTGGTAGGTAACTAGTTTGGCTTGTTGGTTTATTTATTGGTTGGTGGCCTGGTTGATTGATTGGTAGGTAACTAGTTTGGCTTGTTGGTTTATTTATTGGTTGGTGGCCTGGTTGATTGATTGGTAGGTAAGTAGTTTGTTTTGTTGGTTGATTTATTGGTTGGTGGGCTGGTTGATTGGTTGATTGATTGGTAGGTAACTAGTTTGGCTTGTTGGTTTATTTATTGGTTGGTGGGCTGGTTTATTGGTTGATTGATTGGTAGGTAACTAGTTTGGCTTGTTGGTTTATTTATTGGTTGGTGGGCTGGTTGATTGGATGATTGATTGGTAGGTAACTAGTTTGGCTTGTTGGTTTATTTATTGGTTGGTGGGCTAGTTGGTTGATTGGTAGGTAACTAGTTTGGCTTGTTGGTTTATTTATTGGTTGGTGGGCTGGTTGATTGGATGATTGATTGGTAGGTAACTAGTTTGGCTTGTTGGTTTATTTATTGGTTGGTGGGCTAGTTGGTTGATTGGTAGGTAACTAGTTTGGCTTGTTGGTTTATTTATTGGTTGGTGGCCTGGTTGATTGATTGGTAGGTAACTAGTTTGGCTTGTTGGTTTATTTATTGGTTGGTGGCCTGGTTGATTGATTGGTAGGTAACTAGTTTGGCTTGTTGGTTTATTTATTGGTTGGTGGGCTGGTTGATTGGATGATTGATTGGTACACTGTAAAAAATGTCAGTGAAAACTACAGTAAAAAACTGTAAAGCAGCAACAGTAAAAGACTATTTAAACCAAAATAGTATATGACTGTATTACATACATTAAATCACCGTAATTTAGGAAAGAGTACATAACTTTAATTTTTACTCTTTTAATATGTAATAAATACAACTTTTTACAGTAAAAATATATTTTTTTGGTGAAATAAATAAAAAAATACCGTAACTTCTCAAGCAAGTAATTACCCTAAAATCAACAGTATAATTCTGTGTAAAAACACATTTTGTTGATGTGTACTATAAAATTTACAATATAAAACCTTCAAAAATTCAACAGAAACTTACTTTAAATTCTACAGTAACAAGAGGTTAAAAGAATGGTATATGTTAGTCAAATAAAAGGGATAGTTCACTCAAAAAGAAAAAAATCCAAACCCGTAAGACCTTTGTTCATTTTCAGAACACAAATTAATATATTTTGGATTTAATCGTAGTTCCTCCCATAGACAGCAAGGGTTCTTACGCCACAAATTACAATGTTAAAATCCAAAGTATTTTAATTTCTGTTCCGAAAATGATTAATGACATATTTATTTATTTTTTTGGTCAAACCATCCACTTTGTTGAAAAACAAAAACAAAAAACAGCATATGCTGGTAAGGTATGCTGGTTTCAATGCTGGTCTTGCTGGTCTCAATGGTGGTCAGGGCCAAGATATTACATTGAAACCAGAATACGGGCATCAAAACATAGGCTACATCACCAGCATATGCTGTTTTATTTGAGTCTTTAATGTAAAATGTTATAATATTCTGTCATTTACTGTACTTTTGTGTATTGTTCATTAAATAGGCCCTATGGATCAAATCTGAGATTTAATTGCTAAAGGCAATGAAAAACAAATTCAAGATATAATTGTAAAAATACAAATATATCGACCTTTATGTAATCATTCATTCGTTCATTTTCTTTTCGGCTTAGTCCCTTATTCATCAGGGGTCACCACAGCCGAATGAACCGCCAATTTATCCAACATATGTTTTACACAGCGGATGCCCTTCCAACTGCAACCCATTACTGGGTCCATCCATACACACTCATTCACACACATACACTACTGCTTGTCTTTGGACTGTGGGGGAAACTGGAGCACCCGGAGGAAACCCACGTGAACACGGGGAGAACATGCAAACTACACACAAACGCCAACTGGCCCAGTCGGGGCTCGAACCAGTGACCTTCTTGCTGTGAGCACTACCCACTGCGTCACCGTGTTGCCCACTATGTAATCATGTTGTAAAAATATTAGATTTTTCATATTACTTTGTATTTAATCACAACTATATAGGTTAAAGGCTGAAATAAAAGGTTGAAATAAAAGATGCTAGAATGAGCAAAAATAAAAGATGAATTATGAAGACAATTATGAAAGTGTTTTTAATTATGAAATGTGTTTTATTATTGATTATTTATTATTAAACAGCATGTTTTAAAAATTCTGTAAAAAACATGAACACACATGCAGAGAAAAAAAAAATCACGATCTGCATGCAATGCAAGTGGTGAGTCCAATGCCTATTTTAAATTTTTTCATAGGGTAACTTGCAATTTGTGAAGTTGGGGGAAGACTTTTTGTCTGACGCAAAGTGTATTTATTTAACAATTACTTGTTAACTTGAGTATAAATTACGAACATTTATACTATTCAAAGTGCATATTTAAATGTAGTAATAGCACCACTCAGTAAACGAAGGTGAACTGTCAACGTTATTTTATATTTCAGTTGGCGAAAAATGAGCGCGCACACCGTTTAAAATGGCGGAATAGCACCGCCCAATGAGCTAACGTGAACTGTCGACATTTTATATTTCAGCCGCCGATTTAGCGCGCCCGCTCTTCAACTTGTGATGCTTAGTGCAAACCTTTGGCACCTGCTAACTCCCTGCTAACGAGGTAAGTCTGTTTGACAACACGGTTCTACACTAAAAGTACATTTTACAGAATCAGTATTAGCGATGTTGAGTTGCAATTTCTGTGGCAAGTCAGTCAAATCATTGAGGGCTTATGTAATACATTGCAAACTTCACCGAAATGAACCGCGTTTATTTAAGTGCTTTGCAGCCGAATGCAAACAGACTTTCTGTACATATGCATCGCTTAAGGCTCATTTTTACAGAAAACATAACGTAAATGCGCCTGTTAACGTTGCTGTCGGGACAGATGTTATGCCTATTAAATGTGCAATGGCGTTATGTGATCGACAGTGTGAAGATGCTAAATCTCTAATAGCACACTTGAAAGACCACATTGTAGAAGGACGTGTTGTGAGTTGTCCAGTAAGAGGATGCACAGATGCTTTTAAAGTTAAATCTTCCTTTACCTCCCACATGTCACGGAAACACAAACATTTCACAGAAAGCACAATTAGTGACTTGTACAGAGACTCGTCGGCTTATCAGTCATCTTCACAATCTGTAACAACCGAATTAACGTCACATGACTGTGGCCATGAATTTGAATGTGATGTAGATACATCCGACGATTTCAACGATCTTTTTCTTAAAAATATTTGTTTATTTTACTTAAAACTGCAAGGGCAGCTCTTAGTGCCTGATTCAACCACACAGAACATTGTTGAGGAGATTCAAAATATACACGAGTTGGGTCAGACATATACTTTAAGTAAACTTGCTTCACAGCTAAAGAATGAAACATCCTTAACAGAAGATGAGATCACCAAAATTTGTCAGTCTGTCAAGGAATCTGATCTGTTTTCTGCATGTCATACAGGGCCAATGAGGACTGCACACACAAGAGCTCAGTGTTTCAAAAAAAATTTCAATTATGTGGAGCCTAAGACTGTTTTGTTAGGAAGGGATGAGAACAGAAAAGATAGGTTTGCCTATTATGTGCCAGTCAAAGAGACTTTAAAATGCTTATTGCAGTCTGATATGTGGCAGGATTGTATGTCTGAGGAGCACCCCACTGACACACCCACAGATGTTTTAACTGATGTTACTGATGGCCAGATGTTCAAATCAAATGAATTTTTTGTTCAGAATCCATCAGGCCTAAAACTAGTACTGTATCAGGATGCATTTGAAGTTGTTAATCCTTTAGGCTCTGCAAAGACAAGACATAAAATATTAGCTGTTTATTTATCTGTAGCTAATTTGCCACTTCATGTAAGGTCAGACACAAACCACATGTCACTTGTTTTATTGTGCAGAGAAAAAGATTTTAAAGAATTTGGGCATGCTAAGGTGTTCTCTAATTTACTAGCAGACTTAAAGTATTTGGAGGAGAATGGAATTCCTGTTTCAGATGAAACCGTAGTAAAAGGAACGGTCTATTGCATTGCCGGCGATAATTTAGGATCCCACTGCATTGGTGGGTTCTCTGAAAATTTCAGCCGTGCAGAACATTTCTGTAGATATTGTCTAATTACTCGATCTGAATTTCAGGGTGATCCAAATCTGTGTGGACCAGCCCGGACAATTCAAAACTATAACTCAGCAATTGACCGCATCCAAGCAGAAGGAGCACAAGACGTGGAAGGAGTAAAATTCAGGTCAGAATTCAATACTTTGAAATACTTTAATGTGTGTCAGCCTGGTCTGCCACCTTGTGTGGGACACGACATATTTGAGGGTGTTTTGTCATATGATGTGGCACTGTATCTGAAATACTTCATAAAAAAAAAAAAATGGTTCACATACTCTACATTGAACAGGCGTATTAAACAGTTCAAATACTGTGCCTCAGATGCTGCTGCTAAGCCATGTGAGGTCAACCCTCAAGCAGGTAAGCTCACTGGAAATGCAATACAGAACTGGAATTTTTTAAGACTGATGCCTCTCATAATTGGTGATCAAGTGAAAGATGCAGCAGATGATGTGTGGCAGCTGACTCTGCAGCTGAAAGACATTGTGGACATGGTATGTGCTCAGAAAATCTCTGTTCCTCAAATTGCATATCTTGAAGTCCTTATTGAAGAGTATTTAGAATCCAGAACATCTATATTCCCCGAAACTAAGCTGAGACCTAAGCATCATTACTTACGCCATTATCCAGCACTGACTCTGAAATTTGGCCCCTTGATTAGATTGTGGACAATGCGTTTCGAAAGCAAGCATAGCTATTTCAAAAGATGTGCAAGAAATTTGAGGAATTTCAAAAACCTTGGTCTCACTTTGTCTAACAGACATCAGATGTTGCAGGCTTATTTATCAGCAGGCTCCAATAGACAGGCTGTTTTGCAAATTAAAGGTGGTTCTCCATTCTACTCAACACTGTACAGTAAAGGCATTCAGGATGCAGTCAGACAATATGGTTTCACTGATACCAACACAGCTGTCACAGTAGAAATGGTTTATAAAGGAACAGCCTACAAGAAAGGACAGTTCCTTGTCACAGGGTATACTGACTTGGTGGAATTTGGTGAACTTGTGCTCATTTTGGTAAAAAACAACACCGTTTATCTTTTGGTGTCAATGTACACAGCAGAATTCCTTCCTCAGTACCATGTGTACTCAGTGAGGAAAGACAATGAAATGATCCAGTGTTTTAACATCTGTGACATGATTGATTTCTATCCATTGGCTGCTTACATGAAAGATGGACAACGACTGGTTCCATTGAAACACAGTGTTTTGTCACACTAATTATGTCTTGTGCTGTCAAAATTGAAAGTTTTTTTTTTCTTTTTGTCTTTTTACATTTTTTTACTCAGAATGGATGACGTAGAGCCAAGCAACATAAGCAGTGCCATTACTAATGTGTTACCAGACCTACCAACCTCAAATCTAAATATTGTATTGGAGACATTACAATCTTTAGGTGTGGGAGCCACTGAAGATTTACAGTATATTAAGGAAGCTGATCTGCTCACAGTACTGAGACCAGTTCAAGCTAGAAAACTGTTGGCTGCATGGAAACAATCCAGTAAGTACATTATGCAGAAAGTTACATTTACTTGTAAGTTAAGATAAAAAAAACAAATTTCATTCTGTACATTTAAATTTCAATTTATTTTACAGCAGAGACAACTGAATTCCATAGTCAGTCAACATTGACCTCTCCAGTGTCCTCAGCGTGCTCCTCAGTCTCACTGTCTTCCTCACCCTCACCCTCACCATCACCCAGACACATGATTGCTACTGCAGATTGGGTCGACAGCTTCCAGATTCCATGGGAGAAGCTCCCAGAAGCCTTAATGCAGAGTTTGGAGAGAGGGAAAAGGCCAAGCTCAAAGTTACGCAGAGAAATGATCCGAATTGTAGTTGCTGAAATGATGCATGCCTCTTCTTCTCCTGGTAAACAATCCTCCACAGAGGTTGCGAAGAAAATGGTAGCAAAGTATCCACTGTCACTGCAAGATGTTATAGAAGGTGATGTGGTAGGAACAGGATATCACTCACTCGTCAAGCAGCTGCAAGCACGAATTGAAAATGTAAAGCGGTCTTCAGTACCAAGAATATTAAAGCGCAGACGGGGGTCAGATGAATTTGACACAGATGAAATCACAGCTGAACAGAGGGCAGCTGTTCAGGACACATATGGCTGCATAAAGTGGGAAATGAAGTTTATGCCAGTGAGTGAGACACTGGAAAGCCAAGAAGAGAAAAAAGAGAAAATGAAAGTGATATTTGAACAGGCAACCTTCAACACAGAGGAGGTAAAACATCTCATGAAGTGCACATACTTCTCCCAGCGTAAATCAGTGAACAGTGGAACCGATCTGCAATTCCTCATGCAAGAGTGGCCTTTCTTATTCAAGGAAGTTGGCATGGCAGTTCACTTTCATGAATTAACTGGTGTTTCCCTGAAAGAGACTTTCCTCAGTAATGTTGAAAAAAAAGGAAAACGTGTTTTAGATTTCATGAGAAGTGTTTGTGCAGAAAAAAGCAAACATGTTTTGCAAGCGGCCACAAAGCTGAAAATTCTGAGAGGACAGCTGGAGGGCTGCTCAGAAGATGTAAAAGATCTGGTGCTCCTCATCCTCTCCTACTTTAATGAAAAAGAGGAGGACTTGTTCTTCTATGTGGAAGAAACTTGTATGGCAAAAGAAGTACAAGTGGAAGGCTTACCTGTGACTCCATGCATCATTGTATGCGGTAAGTTGATCTGTTTTTTTGAAGGAGTCAGAGCTCATGTGTAATACATGTGTAATAGTTATTTTCTAACTATGTTTTCTTGCAGGAACATCATGCTATGCTGCAAAGCATTTCATGCTGAGTGTTGACCAGAAAATTGTCAACGAATACATCTCCACCTTCATCTCGGCTGTTTGCATGATGTTTGCAACCTACTACTGCCTCAACATTCACTATCCTGTGGGTCTGGGCTCCACACTTGAGTTTATTCAGAGGTAAATAATTTTATTTATTTATTTATTTTAAACAAATCACTTAATCTAGTGGTTAATTTTGAATTCTTGCATTCATAAAGGTGTTTCTTCAACATCAATCCTGAGAAGGGCACAAAAGTGGAAACTAAGAAAAACAAGAAACAGCTAACAGTGAATCCAAGAGTCCTCACACTCATTGCAGATCTCTCAGATCATGAGTGGAGAGAGGCATGTTAAATATGGACTTTCAGTTCACATCATTTGAAGTGTTAACACAACACGTATACACCACTAATTGAGTTTTCAGTTTACCTTATCTGTTAACCACCAACAAAGAAAGTACGCTTTTAGTATTTGGGTTAATGATAATGTTTTATTGAGCATTGTTTTTGTTTAATTGGTAAACTGGCTTATTCCAGATTTTGTTAAAAGTACAATGTAACAGACATTTTTGTTAAAGGCTGCATTTGTTCCATTTTTTTTCTAGTTTTCATTGAGGGAAAGAGCAAATTTATATACTAAATTTATTTTTCTAAAGATGTTACAAAACAAATTCATTATACTCCCTGCACATAGTGTTATATGCTTATGATTTTGGCATTTATAATTATTATTAATTTATTTTTTTTGTTTCAAAATATTCTGGTACTAGCAAGGAGTTCAGAGTGTTTGGCTGATTACATGCGGAGTTTAATAAACCTTTTGGAAAATGCTTTCCAGACACCTTTTTTTCAGTGATTATTGTGACACTTCAGATTAAGTTAATGACTGGTGGGATTGCTAAAATCTAAGAATCTACGTAAAAGTAAGTAAACTAAACACTTGAGAATATTTATGTAATTATTTTTACACAAAACAGCATGTGTAAACACATTCTATAAGCTAAATATTGCATATTGTGTAAAATTAAAGCTTTTATCTTCTAACACATTTCAGGCACTGCATTCAACCTTCACTAGATGATGACTTCAAGGAAACACATTTCTGGACAAAAAGTGTTAATTAATACTTTTTTTTTAATAATGTTTATTTTTTTTAAAATTTCACTTTTAATGAGACATTTTTGTTGTATCCACTTTATTGAACAGCAACACTAAAGTTCATCAGGAAACAATGGAAAGAGATCAGGATTGCAACTTTGGTTGCTGCAATAACGGTATGTGTTGTGTTGAACTTGTTGAGCGGCTTGTGAAGCACAGCTGTTGTTTTTCCCTAAATGTAGCCATTTATTTAGTACATGTAGTGTGCATACTGCTTTTAAAAGAGTGAAAGATATGCTTGAAACATTTTTGTCTTATTTAGGACAATATATTTTCTTATGTCTGCCAGAGTTTGAACACAAGGACTCTCTTTTCCTGACAAGTCTCTATTTGGATAAGAGACCTTTCAAGTATAAATTTGGGTAAGTTTTGTTGATTATTAAACATCAATTTAAAAGTACTAATTACCTATTTAACTCTTGCTTTACCTTACACAGATGAGCAATTCGGTGCTTCCAACTTTGCAGAAACGGGGTGTGGCCAGGCTCTAAGCTTCAGTGAGTACATATAAATTATAAGCTTTTAAATTAACTGCCATGCATCAATTTGTCAGATCATACATGCTACTGTTTGGTCAGTTGCTCAACTAACCTTACTCTGTTGGTATCACAAAATTGTAGAACTAAAATTACCTTTCATTAAAAGAGTATTTTATTACAACCCAAACGTGTTTCCAATCTTTCCTTGTATAGCAGTGGATTGTCCTAATTTACAATCTCAAAACAGATTTTTATGCTTGATCTCAACTGAAGTGTAATTTTATTTTAGTTTATATTTAACTTAATTTTATGCTAGCTTTTAAAAAATAATAAAAAATTATATTGCTAAAGTTGTCTTGCACATTTACAGAACAATATTACCACACATTCATCACATTGTCATCTTAGTAAAGTTTGTGTTTAAAAAAAAAAAAAGAGTAAAGAAAATCTCAGCTAAATTGTATTATATTTATGTACATTGTTTACATTATTATTATTATTCTTTTGAGTTGGAAATAACACAAACTGCTCAATATTTCGAAACTGCAGCAATATTTACTGTAGCTATTGTGTAAATGCTAAAATTAGTTATATTTATTTAATAACTATTAATGTTAGAATTGTTCCTTTTTTGTTTCTTTTCCCCTGTTCACAGAGAGGACCTTCTAAAAGTTCCGGTTTTCTGAACATTGTATCCTGTGTGTAAGAGACCTCTCTTCAGTCAAGTCTGGACCCAGTCAGACGCCAGTCTTAAGGATAATTGATGGTAAGCAGTGTTATAGTATGGTGTAACAAATGCTAGGTAGACTCAAGCAGTCGTGGGTGATAAAAATTGTTATTTCATCATTTCATTTTTGTAATTAAAAAAAGATACACAGTATAAATACACAAATTAAATAAATGGTGCATTTATGTTTTAGCTACAGTAGGTGTATTTATATAGAGGAGCAGGAGTGCTGGTCAGAAATAAAATGAAGAAGCAAATTATCAATTTAATAATTGAAGCATAAAAATTTACATAAATTACCATTTAAATGGACAAATAAATAGACAATTGTAAAACTATTTATTTAATTCATGTTTTAAAATGTGAATTAATCAAAGCGTAAAAAGTATATTTATTCATTCATTTTCTTTTTAACTTAGTCCCTATATTAATCCCTTTATTGTGGGTCGCCACAGCGGAATGAACCGCCAACTTATCCAGCATATGTTTTACGCAGCGGATGCCCTTCCAGCTGCAACCCGTCACTGGGAAACACCCATACACACTCATACACTACGGACAATTTAGCTTACCCAATTCACCTATACCGCATGTGTTTGGACTGTGGGGGAAACCGGAGCACCCGGAGGAAACCCATGCGAACGTAGGGAGAACATGCAAACTCCACACAGAAATGCCAACTGACCCAGCCGGGACTCAAACCAGCGACTTTCTTGCAGTGAGGCGATCGTGCTACCCACTGCGCTACCATGTCGCCCTAAAAAGTATATTAATAAATACTTTTACTTTGCCACATGATTTCCTCGAGTTAATCGATTTTTTTGTCTATTAACATCATTTTACAACTTTAGATTATAGTGTTTACCATCAAATTTTATATCAATAAACAACAATAGTTGACAACAGAACAGCATTAACAATACCTGCAACACTGTGATTATAATAATATATTAGCATAATGCATTAAAGGAATGGTTCATCTAAAAAAGAAAATTCTGTTATTATGTTCATGTAGTTCTAAAAACGAAAGACCTTTGTTCATCTTTTAAACACACTAAAATATATTTTATATTTAGTCCAAGAACTTTCTTATCCTCCCTTAATAAGTACATGTAATCAGTAGTTAAATAAAAATGTTATGATGATGTAACTGGTGTTATGATATACACTGGGTAATGCTCCCAGTGTACCATGTTATACATCAGAAGTGTTGTTGAAAATGTTTCCCAAAAGTATTATCATTGCTTCACACAAGGAGCATTGCTATCTGTGGGAGGATCAGAAAGAGCTCTTAGATTAAATAAAAATAATAATAATTTGTGTTCTGAACATGGACAGAAGTCTTAAGGTTTTAGAACAACATGAAGGTGAGTAATTATTGACAAAATTTTCATTGTTTGTTCAACTGTCCCTTTAATTATGACCACACACTAAAAATAATGGTTTGGGATAAAAGATAAAGTAAAAGACTCTTTATAGCAGACAATGATGTTTGTATACTCTTTTGAAAAATGTACTGTCAACACAGATCTTTAATTGCAGTTTAAAGCAAAAATGGCACACAATGTAAATATTTTATCAACTTTATATTTAAACTAGTTTTTCTACAAATATATATTTTTAAAAACAATTATTTTATTATAGATAGCAATTACTCAACCTAGAAAACTTTATTGTATTTTTTTGTAAGAATGACTAGGATTGTATCTGATGACTCCTATCTGATGATTTAGTACAAATTGTGTGAATTGTTGAATTTAGGCTCCAAGCTGACAGAGTGAAGCAAATACTTATGATAGCTCAGTGCTGAGATGTGTCTATTTCAATCTTTTGCCCTAATATTGATTATTAATTATTGTATTTATTATTAAAGTGGCCTACAAAATTCTATGGTGTTGCTTGTGTGCAGTTCATTGGTAATCAATTAAAGAAAAGAAGACTGAGTTTATTTCAGTTCAAGCATATTTCTCTTGAACTAACTTGTCTTTGTGTCTGTTTTCTGCAGAGAGATCATGCCAGTCCATATTGAAATAGTGACTACATGCAAGACTTCAAGCAGTACTACATTTCAAGTTTGGAACATACACAGTCCTGTGTCTTCCGTCAAGTGTGGGCTCAATATTGTTCAACCAGAGCAAGCAGCCCTGATGGATGTACAGTATATGTCTTCATTGATTATCCTTACTTTTATATATGGACACATTTTATTTCCAACATCAACACGCCTTTGTGAGTACACTGGTCAAGTTATTGGATCAGCTCAAACTGTTTTAACACAGTCCCTGTATGTAGTTTCATTAAAATCTAATAATTATAGTTTGTGCCTTCAGTTGCTATAGACTGTATTTACTAGTTCATTTTGCAATTCAAAAACCTGATTGATTGTTGTAAAATCTGTGGCAAACAACTGTAATGTCTTTTGTGTTTTACCGTGTTTTTTACGGTAAAGTTCTGGCAACCACAGCTGCCGGTAATTTTCTGTAAAACTGAACTTTACAATAAAATACTATTATATTTAATACAGTTGTTTTATGTTTATTACGGAAATAGAATGTAGTTAGTTTTACAGTATATTTATTATACACAGTAGTTTACTGTAAAGGAATTTACACTTACGACTGCTATTTTTAAAGTAATTTACTGTAAACATGTTTACAATACATTTGTTTTATTTAACAGAAATTTACTGTAAACATACAGCAGTTTTCAACTGTAAAATTTACAGATCATCAAAAAGTATTCTGTAAAGCATTGCACGTTGCAACCTTATATTTTACGGTGAACTTCTGGCAACCACAGCTGCCGGTATTTTACCGTATATTTCACCCGTTATTTTTTACAGTGTAGGTAACTAGTTTGTCTTGTTGGTTTATTTATTGGTTGGTGGGCTGGTTGATTGGATGATTGATTGGTAGGTAACTAGTTTGGCTTGTTGGTTTATTTATTGGTTGGTGGGCTGGTTGGTTGATTGGATGATTGATCGGTAGGTAAGTAGTTGGGTTGTTGGTTGATTTATTGATTGGTGGGCTGGTTGATTGATTGGTTAATGGGATCACTTGTGAATGCAGCATAGATGCACATTCAGATATTCAACGTCGGATAACTGTCAATCTAATCCCTGATCTAATGGAGGGAATGAAAGCAAATATGCATATCCTTTTTTAAATACATCTAATAAAATCATTGTTACAAGACCATGTTATGCGTTTATTAAATATTTGCTTGGTTGTCTCCGAAACTCAGTTGACTTGTTTTAGATCATTAGTCACAATGTTAATGTGTCTGCAGCTTTCAGAGAATGGCATCTGCCTTCCTGTTTCGACACAGCCTTTAGGTGTCTCGCTAATCTGACACTCCAAATTCAGTTCATGCCGCCTTTACTAATGAGCTGAGCTGAAACACTTGTGTCAAATGCAGTGTGCAGAACTGAAAGCAGTTCAAGTTGAAGAACAAAAAAAATACACAAAAAAAAAACAAACAATGGCAATATTTACACACATGATTGATGTCCTAATGTCTGCAATGGCTTTTAGTCTGAAAGCAACACAGTTATTTTAGTAAGTCCAAGCACACCTGTAGAAAAGTCATTGCTAATGTTATGTATTTATTCTGCAAAGTCAACATTCTTGAACTTTTCCTGATACGCCTGGGTGTAAATGTTAGTTCCAGACTTCAAAATAAAACCAGGAAGTTTACTGATGAAATAAGATTGGACTTAATAGAACTTCTTATCCATTTTCTTCTTATCGTCAATTTGTTAGGATTATTGGCTCTCATCTATCATTGCTAGGATGCTTATTATACAGTAGTCAACAACTGAAGTGGATCAAAACTTTTCATCAAAGTTCTCTTAAAGCAGGGGTGTCCAAAGTCGGTCCCGAAGGGCCAGTATCCTGCTGAGTTTAGCTTTAACTTGCTTCAACACACATGTCAGGAAGTTTGTAGTACATCTAGTAAGAGCTTGATTAGCTGTTTCAGGTTTGTTTGAAGCTGGTTCAGGTGTGTTTGATTACGGTTCGAGCTAAATTCTCCAGAAAACCGACCCTCCAGGACCGAGTGTGGACATGCCTGTCTTAAAACTATTGTACCAGGGTGGAGTGAAAATGCAGACACAATGCAGACCCCCCGAAGGGCTTTTTATTTAAAGTGCTGGTGAAATTGAAGGTGTGTTAGGTGCGCAGGTGTCTTCAGTGAACTTCTCGTAGTCCAAGTGAAGTGGCGTTCAGATGAGTTGTAGGTGAGTTGATCCTTTTTCCTGTTTGTGCTTGTGTGAGACACCAATCACCTGTCTCAATCAGTCTGTGGTCTCTGAGAGTAAAAGAGAGAGAACTCATTAGAGTTGTGGTTAGCAGAGAGGCTTCTCAGCGTCTGTCTTCACTGTGGCGTTTTTAAAGGGCTTGAGGGAACGAGTCCCAGGTGCAGGCGATCGATGTAATTGCATCCAGGTGGCGTGAGTGCTCCTTTCCCAGGATGACGCTGCTTATCCAATAGGCCGCCCACCACACTATTCAACAACACGTAGGCTGTTTCTCAATATGCGTTCTTAAGCGGTCTTGCGTCCTTGTCTTCTTGTGTAACGTCATCATCAGCTGCCAAAGTTCAGTTCCGATACTCAAGACCGCAAGAATGGAGGATGTGTGAAGTTCCCCGGATGTGTTCTTGATATCGAGGATGCACCGATGCAGACTTTATTGGGTACACCTTAATTCTGCTCGTTAACACAAATTTCGGATCAGCCAATCACATGGCAGCAACTCAATGCATTTAGGCATGGTCAAGACTCACCAGAATTGAACAATATAAGATTGGAGAAACGTTACCTGGTCTAATGAGTCTCGATTTCTGCTGCAATATTCAGATGGTAGGGTCAGACTTGTGCATCAACAACATGAAAGCATGGATCCATCCTGCCTTGTATCAAAAGTTCAGGCTGGTGGTGGTGTAATGATGTGGGGGATATTTTCTGGAATTCTTAGGGTCCATTAGTACCAACTGAGCATTGTGTCAACACCACAGCCTACCTGAGTATTGTTGCTGACCAAGTCTATCCCTTTGTGACCAAAGTTAAACCATCATCTGATGGCTACTTCCAGCAGGGTAACGCACCATGTCATAAAATGTGAATCATCTCAGACTGGTTTCTTGAACATGACAATAAATTCACTGTTCTCCAATGGCCTCCACAGTCACCAGATCCAATGAAGCACCTTTGGGATGTGGTGGAACAGGAAATTTGCATCGTGGATGTGCAGCCGACAAATCTGCAGCAACTGTGTGATTCTATCATGTCAATATGGAGCAAAATCTTAGAGGAATTTTCTAGTACCTTCTTGAAACAATGCCATAAAGGATTAAGGCAATTCTGAAGGCAAAAGTGTATAAAAGCCAGTACTAGTAATGTGTACCTGGCCGGTGATTGTATTTTTGGCTTGGCTTGACATGTATATGATCAAACAACTTCTTTCGGACAGTTCACTTGAGTTTACCTTGAAGTGTTCATTTCGTCATCAAAATTAAGGATGAATATGTTTGTTGCCAAAAAGTCTAAACTTTTTCCACCTACAATATTGCATGCTTATGTTGTAACTGTCCATAATGATAATAATGTTGTCCCATCTTTCGTCTCATCTCATTCTTGGAAAAAAATGAAAAGTCAGCAGTGACCATTTACTAACAAATTAACACTGTTAAACTGCTGGAAGCGATTGCTCATCTTGTGGGATTTTCACACTCAAGCATCTCTAGGGTCTACATACAGGATATTTTTTCCCTTTTTCTATCACTCTACTGTACAGTGAGTGGCAGTTCTGTGGATAAAAATGCCTCGTTGATGCCAGAGTTCAGAGAATGACCAGACGGGTTCAAGCAGATGGAAAGGCAATAGTAACTTAAATAGCTCACTCTCCAGAAGAGCATCCCTGATACCATGACACCTCCAACATTGATATAGACGCGCTCCTGCAGCACAAGAGCACACAGATGACATGTCTGACAGCTATTATATATTTTATATAAGTAAATATATACAAGTAACAATGGCTAGTCCATGGATATCTTATAATCGACATGAAACCGAAGTCAAGATTGTAATTTTTCCCATATCGTAACATACACTGAAAGAGACCTGAAATTAGAAAGAAAAGTAAGGTGGTGCATGATTTCATCCTTTGGGAATTGATTGGATTGTTGAAAGATGGACATTGCTAATAAAATAGAGGATTGACTAATGGATCAAAGCAAGAAAGAAATGAGACATGCTCTGATAGCCCCTTCTGAAAGGCATTCCATCTGACCAGAACTGTAACTAGATATTGGCATGGAAACGTGTTCAGGTCAGGATTGTTATCAAACGTGTGAATTTCAAGGCAGATTGGACAATGCATGCCTAAGTTATAACAATTTCCTGTTTGGTGGCGAATTATCGAAGTTTGAGAGGCCGCCACGGACACGCCCTGTGATGAAAAGATAAGGTCTTCATGATTTTACATCACCAAGGCCTTTATATTACAACACCCAATTTTGGTATTGAACAGATAAAATCTCAAAGAGGAGTTCGTTAAAATATAACGGAAATGGCAAAAACACCAGAAAATGGCACAAACGGCACTTTTTCAGCACAGGAAGTTATATCTGACTTCCTGTTGGGTTTGAGATTGAAGCTGCGGTCACACTGGGCTTTTCTTCCCATAGGTTACCATTCATACACACACGAATGCGTCAGACCGAAAACGCAGGGTCATGCGACAAAATTCAAAGTTCAAGTTGGGTGAACTCTGAACTTGGTGAACTCTGAAATCTCATCACTTGACTGCATGAGACCAATCGAGGATCAAAACATGACCTCCCTGGACAGAAATGTAAAAATTGTGGCAATCGCTCGCTTTTTAAAATGTCTAATAAGCTTGTTTAATCCCGCCCCTTTTCGCAGCGCCGCACGACAGAATTTCGCATAATCAAACTCTAGTGTGACCACAGCTTTAGGTGTATAGTGATGCTGTCAAGTCATTCTGCCACACCCACTTCCGAAACCTATATAAAACATAACTTTTTTGCCACTTCTTGGGCATGTGCAAAGTTTTGTGAGTTTTCGGGCATGTTTAGACCCTCAAAATTGCAATTCATTCCGAAGATGAAGAAGAAACTGAGCAATTCCAATAGGGCAGGCATGTCCAAATTCGGTCCTGGAGGGCCGGTGTCCTGCACAGTTTAGTTCCAACCCCAATCAGACACACCTTGCCTAACTAATCAAGCTCTTTCTAGGCATTCTAGAAACATCCTTGCAGGAGTGTTGAGACAGGTTGGAGCTAAAATCTGCAGGACACCAGCCCTCCAGGATCGAGTTTGGACATCCCTGCAATAGGGCCTATGCACCGTTTTTTTACTCGGTCCCTACTGAAAACTGACCCAGCCTGGATTCCAACCAGCGACGTTCTTGCTGTGAGCCGACAGTGCAAACCACCAAGTCACTGTGTCGCCCTGATATAAGATTAGAAGGCCAAATATTATTTTACAAATCAATGAGGTGCACAGATGCATTGTTTATAACAGGCACGACCAACCCTGTTCCTGGAGATCGACCTTCCTGCAGGTTTCAGTTGCAACCCATATCAAACACACCTGCCTTTAATTATCAAGTGTTGTTCAGGTCCTAATTAATTGCTTCAGGTGTTTTTGATAAGGGTTGGAGATGAACTTTGCAGGAAGGTTGATCTCCAGGAAAAGGGTTGAGCACTATTGGTTTATAACAAGCACTGGTACAGGTATGGGCAAACTTGATCCTCAAGGGCTGGTGTCCCTGCAGACTTTTATTCCAACATTAGTCAAAAA